TTTCGAGTGTAACAGCTGTGAAGATCTAGTTAACCGGGTATAGTGTAAACAGCACTTTAGATACTGCGGTTCATTCGTGAGTAGAATTTTATGCAGCATTACAAGACACCTTACCTTTAATAGATCATTAAACCAAATTGAAAAAATCTTTGTGGCAAAATTCGAAATATGATCACGCTTTCTACTGCCGTATATATGTATACCTAGAAATATTGTTCCACAGTAAAATAAGCTTTTTATTGCATACACTGTCACACTTGGCTAACAATTCTTGAACCGTATAAAGTGTCGGTATCAGGTAACTTTTAACAAGAAATAGGCGAATTTTGATTGGGCTAAATTATTGAGTGGCCCATAGAGATCGCAGCATCTCATAAACTTTCCCGATCGCTTCATAGATGTGGTTGTTCCAGGTTACAGTCCTGTTGAAAATTATGCCAAGGTTTTTGGCGGAGTCAACATACCGTATTGTAGAATTATTCAGCGTAACACTGTCAAAGCTGTCGAGCCGAAAGTTTTTCTTATGTATAACAATGCATTGTGGTTTGCTGGGGTTTATGACAAGTCCACTGTTAGAAGCCCACCCGTTGACATGGTATAAATCATTAAAAGATTTCGGATGCTAGTATTAATTGAGTCAGGTGCGCAGCTGAGGTGCAGCTGCTCGTCATCAGCATATGCATGAATTCTACAACGCCCAAGAACGTTAGGTAGATCTTTTACGTATAAAATAAATAATAAAGAGCAAGAACTGAACCTTGCGGAACACCTTGCACAACAGGAGCCAAGCAAGATAAAGAATTACTCGCGCATACTGCTTGCGACCTATCAGACAGATACGAGTGTATTAAGTTTGACGCTGAGGTCGAGAAGTTGCAAAGATTTGCAAGTTTTAGGCACAATAAGCGATGGTCGACGGTATCAAATGCTTTAGAGTGATCCAGAAGAGTGAGTAAGGTCACGTAGTTCTCATCCAGTATTTGCCTAATATCGTCAGTGACATTCAGCAGTGCCGTGATACAGCCCCCATTTTCGCTTACTAGAGAACGTTTTTAAAAAAAAATAATGTATTTGCTTATACATCAAGTGCTCCACCACTTTGAGCAAGAAAAAAGGCAGCGATTTAGAAATGGAGAAATATTTACAGCTACCCCTTATACCCAGACAAGAGGATCCTTTAATTTGTTGGAAGCATAATCGCAAAGAATTTCCAAATTTGTTTACACTGGCATCGGGTAGCATTTATGTTGAAAATAGAAAAGCTTGTTGCCCGAGAATACGGAAATGCTTCTTTTCAAAATGAAAAACATAAATTTTTAATTCTAATTACTAATTACTACACTGAGAAAAGGGATTAGTTTTGACAACTAAAGATATTTAGTTCCCGAATTTTGACAATATTTGGGAACTGTTACCAAGGATTGGGAACTTCTACCATGGGTTGGTAATTATAACTAAATATATTAAAGCTTCTAATATTCATCTAGGTTGTACCAAATCGTTAATTTAGTTTAAGGGTTTGGTAAATACTAATAAATATTTTTTTGAAGCATATTTCTACAAATTCCATTCCACTTAACGTATGGTTTATAAAAGGATGTCATTAAGCTCTTCTATTACACTTCAGCTTTCTTTCAACACATGGTTTAGTCATAGCTACCAAATCTTAGTTGAGGCAACCACGATTTGGTTTGAGAGCGGAACATATTCATGCTTGTGAGCCACCCCTAAATAATGCTG